GCGTGCGCAGGAACACGTGCGTGCATGAGTGTGTGCGTGCATGTGCATATGCACCTGAACGTGCGTGTGTGCGTGCATGCGTGCGCAGGAACACGTGCGTGCATGAGTGTGTGCGTGCATGTGCATATGCACCTGAACGTGCGTGTGTGCGTGCATGCGTGCGCAGGAACACGTGCGTGCATGAGTGTGTGCGTGCATGTGCATATGCACCTGAACGTGCGTGTGTGCGTGCATGCGTGTGCACGTACACGTGCGTGCATGAGTGTGTGCGTGCATGTGCATATGCACCTGAACGTGCGTGTGTGCGTGCATGCGTGTGCACGTACACGTGCGTGCATGAGTGTGTGCGTGCATGTGCATATGCACCTGAACGTGCGTGTGTGCGTGCATGCGTGTGCACGTACACGTGCGTGCATGAGTGTATGCGTGCGTGTGCAAGTACGCGTGCGTGCGTGTGTACGTACACGTGCGTGCGTGCGTGCGTCCGTGTGTGTGCACGTACACGTGCATGCGTGCAGGCGTGCGTGTGAAGGTACACGTTCGTGCGTGCGTGCGTGCGTGCGTGTGCAGGTACACGTGTGTGCATGTGTGCGTGCGTGCGTACGTGCGTGCGTCCGTGTGCACGTACACGTGCGTGCATATGCAGGTACACGTGCGTGCATGCGTGCGTGCGTGTGCGTGCGTGCGCGCGTGCACGTAGACGTGCGTGCGTGTGTGCGTGTGCATGTGCGTGCATGCGAGCGTGCGTGCGTGTGCACGTACACGTGCGTGCATGAGTGTGTGCGTGCATGTGCATATGCACCTGAACGTGCGTGTGTGCGTGCGTGCGTGTGCACGTACACGTGCGTGCATGAGTGTGTGCGTGCATGTGCACGTAGACGTGCGTGCGTGCGTGCGTGTGCTTGTATCGAAAAATATCACGCATCTGCTTGCTGCAACTGCGCATGAAAACACATAGACACGAGTCATACAAAACGTGTCAAAGTAACGGATCCATTTCTGTTTTACGCGAATGACATGGCTTGTTGAGCCAAATTAGAGAGTGCTAGTACCTTCGAAGGGGTCGAAGAAGAGAAGGAAGTGGTAGGAAAAGCGCAAAGGAACGAAGTGACAGCAGATTCAAACCAAAGGGACAAGAATCTTAATCGAGCCATTAAGAAAACGTTAGACCGTGTATCTAGAAAACCTAAGAGTTTTAGTTTTAAATTCTTGTAAACTGCCTCGTGTTACAATATGTACAGTTGTGTACTATGTATGTAGTGGCCTCGACCCGAGTCCTCGAGTCCGGAGGGCTCGAGTCCAAGTCCGAGTCCGAGTCATTGCACTCCGAGGCCAAGACCGAGACCGAGACCAAGGAAAACAGTCTCGAGGCCGGTCTCGAGGCCAAGACCGGCCTCGAGACCTACAACACTGATCGATACCTTGGCGTGCATGCTGGCACTCTTCACCGAGAGTAGCTTGTCCTTCATGTTCAGGAAGCCCTCCAAGTAGTTGCGATAGCTGGGCAGGTGCGACGTCGCGTCGTAGGGAGCGACATCATAGACGTGAAGCTGGTAGCAGAACGCTGTCTCGTCGTAGGTCGGCAGAAACCGCAATCCCGGCTGCTGGCTCGGCAACCTCCGCAGACCGCCTGCGGGACGAAGAAGGAGTACGTGGCTGAGGCTGGGTTTAGACTACCGACTTCATGCAGTCAAATTGACGAATTGCACCAGTTTCGCTGCTGTACAACCAACAATCGGCAGTGTAAACGTAACAGTCTCGCGACCAACTGGCTGGGAGGTGGGTTATTTTCGCGGTCGGGGACGCGTTCGCGAAATTCGCGAAAATTAAACCGCCACAAAATATACGGCTTATACGGTAGGTGACAAACTCCCGTCGCACCTGAGTTCACTTCGACGTCGCAGATTTTTCCCGCCGGCCGCAGCGTGGTCGAATAGTTGGCGCATATTGTCGCCCAATCCGAAAACTCAGAACCCTTGCTGATGGAGCCATCGTTCTCGTTCGCCCCCAAGTACCTGTAAAGAAAATGACGTGCAAATGCACGCACCTGTCTTACTTCTTCTTCTGTGCGACGGCCGAGGCACGCCGAGTCCGTGGGCAAGTGGTTTTCGAATTAGCAGAGTAGCAATGATGAGGGCTAATGAGAAGGGAACGGTTCGGGTGTACATCAGCCGAGTTGTCCTATCGCTCACGGACGCCGCATCGTGATTTTTTGCGATTCTAACCACTATTAACTGCCGCTTTAAGCCATCGTTAAGTGGGCCGTCGTTATTGCAGTGAAAACGTCCCTACCTCCACCCCTGCGTAATACATCAAGATCGACATAAGTGATTGGAATCGGTTGGAATTGCATCATCGATCATCGGTTGCACCCAAACGATCGATGAACGAAGATAATCGGTTAAATGTTATTGATCGCAGCTACCAGATATTGAAATATATCTGATAATATTTACATCAATGTTTGGTTTTTTTTTAATTAAAAAGCTACTTTTTTAACATTTTTTTTATAATCGATAATTTTTTTCATAATCGAGCGCTTAGTCGGTTGCTGCCAACGATCGACTTTCGATTATAATCGATCATCGGGACGTCACTCATCGACATGGAGGACGTTCTGGTGGCGAGCTGGGATGGTTGGTCGTTACTTACTCGTTGGTACAGACGGTGCACTCCCGGCCGTCGCCCGTCCAGTCCCAGTAAGGGACAGTGAGCTGTGGCTTGCCTGCCACCTTCTGCAGCATGCGTTCAAAGCCCAGCATAAACTTCCTGCAAGTAGAACGATGTCTCGTAAGCAGGCGCCATCCATCTCCCTACAGAGCGCACAGTAACTCATGGCAATGTAAGCAGATGCCTTCTATACATCTCCACGTGCATGCATAGTAACGCACGACAGTGAAACACTCAATCCCCTTACTACAAAGCCCCCACCCCCCAGCGCGAGGTCCCTATTCCCAATCACCCTTGTTCGCAGGGTTTTAGTAGGGGCCCATGTGCTTACCTGTGCCAGGATACAACGAAGACCCCCCCCCCCTACCATGAGGTCCCTATTCCCAATCCCCCTTGTTTGCAGGGTTTGGTAGGGGCCTGTGTGCTTACCTGTGCCAGGATACGACGAAGACCCCCCCTACCATGAGGTCCCAATCCCCCTTGTTCTCGGGGTTTGGTAGGGAGCCGTGTGCTTACCTGTGCCAGGATATGACGAAGACCCCCCCACCTACCATGAGGTCCGAATCTCCCTTGTTTGCAGGGTTTGGTAGGGAGCCGTGTGCTTACCTGTGCCAGGGTATGAAGGACGGACCCTCGTGGGCGTAGTCGAGCGGGTGTTCGTAACCTACGTCGCCGGGCACCTTGCCATCCCGCAGTGTGACGGGATCGCGAGCTGCGTAGTAGTGAACGTAGGTGAAGTAGTCGTAGTTGCTGACGTCCTTGAAGTGCGGATGTCCCGCGTCCCTGTTGGGTGCAAGACGAGATAGAGCAGGAGGTCATGATGCAAACGCTCGCATTTTTTCGGCTCTACGGAAGTCGTAAACAAGTTGTTGTTTAGCGAGGGCTGATTCCCACATATCCACGCAGATCATGCAGAAGCAGAGATCGCGCAAACGCTCGCTTTTTGTCGGCTCTACGAAGGTGCATGATCATGATTACGATTGATTTATTGTGATTGATGATGCTGGTGATTAGCGAAGGCAATTTCCAAAGACGTGCTGAATGGTAGAGTGCTCGCCTCCATTGCGGGAGGTCGGGGGTTCTACTCCCGACCGAGTCATACCAAAGACTTGAATAATGGTACACACTGCTTCTCTGCTTAGCACTCAGCAAATAGAGATAGAGTGTGGAAAAGTTAACTCGTTAACTTCCGTTGCCTTGATGCCAAATTTGGTTACTGCAATGTAATACAACAAAACAAAACAAAACAAGTGCCGCGGAGCGACAGCGCTCATCTAACGTCTACTGCGGTGACTCTGTGGTGGAGTGGGGGATTCTAGTAAACCCTGTTAGTCCCAAATGTGTTCATCTACACGCCGAACACAGTGGAATGCCACAGGATGGTATCAGAACCTCTCAAAGGAATGTTCGTTGGATCGCTTAAGAAAGTTGCCACGAGATGGCGGCGTACGTTCAAGTGTCTTCAGATTAAAGATGAGCTCTCATCGTACGTAGTAGCAACAACTATTTGCAAGACAGAATAGGTAAGCACTCATTCCATTACCTACGCAAAGCCTACAGGCTGCAATAGAGAGCTGCCACCTGTAACCATATAACGCAGGCAAAAACTACACCGTACCACCACACATGCACTGGCAGTTAGCACTGGCAGTGGCATAACGTTACATGTAACATACTGACAGTACAGAATGCCATAGAAATTATACGATTTAAGGAGCATAAACTTCTTTAACCAAATTTAGGCTTTTGAAATTCAGGTGTGACATTGTAGCTCGTAAATCCAGCATGTACAGATTCTACTAGCAAACCCGGCAGTCAAGTTCTTTCTAACAGACAGTCAACAAATCCATGTTTAACCCTCTCTTGAGGGTCAAAAGGTTATCTGACACTTACTCTTCGCATGTGCAGTGCTGAAAGTAGATTCATGGTCCTTTCATAATGCCCATAAAAATGCTAGGTCACCGCTGAAACAAAAAGTTTTTCAATCGCTCCGTCAGACCATGTCCCCGAAAATGTCTAAAATCTGCCCTGTGCCATTGACCTTTGACCTGTGACCTCCAATTTCGGCACAGTGATGGCTTTTCCTACCATGATGCTATACACCAAACTAGCACGAGCCTAGTCGAGCCGTTTAGATTTTGTGCCGCATTCTGCATTTCCTCCCTATACCTTAAGTTAAGGAGTGAATGTTCCCCTTCTTTTACACCTCTTGACCTTGACCTTTGACCCCAGCTTCGACATCCCAACTCGTTTTGACGATCCCCCCCAATGTGGCGAATATCGTGACCGTACGTCAGCGGTTAAGATTTGTGCCCAACTGTTGACGGCGCACGGACGGACGCACGGACGGTCATGCGATTCTACAAGCGCATCTGACTATGTCAGATGAGCTAAAAACACACTAATTTTTAGACCATCATCAGTTAAGTTTTTTCTATGCTGTGTACGTGGGATGAAGGATTACAAATAGCACCTAACTATTTGTTTTTAAATTGTTACCTGTGTAACAACCCCGCGTAAGAGTTATTATATTTAAGACTAATAGGTTCTATCACAGTATAAGCTTGATAGATATCTCGTCTCATACAAGCGTAGCGAGTATGAGAGCGTGGTTACTATAATGAGGGTATATCTATAATCGCTATCTCGAGGATATCTCATACCTATTATGGAGAAATTACAATCTATGCGATTCATAGGTCAAAATCTCACACTGTATTGGCTCTCTGCTGTTTGCTATTAAGATAACGGCGGTTGCTATCAAAATAAGTGCAGATCACCACATATATCAGCGAGCAATCTCAACGAGCAATAGGTCACACCACGATTAGGCTATCTCTGAGGCGCCAGGACCATGCTGTCGTCCCGTATGAACCTTTAACAGGCATGCAGATTATAAATATTCTATACAGGAAAGGAACATTTTCTTCGGCAATACCTTACAGTGACTCACCTTACACACAATAGGTCAAGATACTAAAAACAGTAGATTATGTATGGGTGACCTTATGGTTAACACAACTTTAGAAAGTTTAGATAGTCTAAGGTCTCTCACCGATCTGCCAAAAATATGATCATCAATAAGAAATCAATATAGGTCATTAGTAGACAAGGGGCTACGTGTGGTACAGCTTTGTCAACGCATAGACGCATGGGGCGCGGGGATGTTGACATGCACTTACTGGTAAGACGTATTCAAAACGACATAGTCACTCTGTGTGCGTTTCGCCTTGAGCAGAGCTTGTTTGAAGTCCGTGAGCTCTTGCTTGGATATCGCGTGTATATTCCGACGTACGTTCGTCGTTTTGCGCTGACATCGTGAACCGCTGTAGCCAAACTTGCACTCCGCACAGTCATACCTGTAGAAGCAAAATGCTTCCCTTATGTTACATCACTCCCACTAAAAATCAACATCCACACGTCGCAACATTTTTTATGTAAATTACAATTTCGATTATCAACAACTAGTCTGTTGTACACGTGAAGTTTTGTACCCGGCTTGAGAATTTACATCGATTTACGGAACTGCGTGCCTGCAACAAACAAGAAAATACTTCCTCCACATACCTTCTGAATGAATAGGTGGGTTCTACAGTTACGAAAAGCTTCGTGCATAAGTTTCCCACACACGTACGTGCTGTATGCAGGGTGCGAAATTAACGCGAGTCCGGAGTCATATACTCCCTGATTTACTGTCGGACTCCCTGATTTAACATATGCAGGAGTCCGTGTGACTCCCTAAAAATTCTGCCATACTAACTAGTTTGTTCCAGAGTACCGCCTCGCGAAATTACCGTATTTTTTCAGCTAATGTCCAAAAAAAAATTGGCAGACGTGCAAGCGCATGAATCTTAAAAATCGGCACATGCGTTATTGTTAATATCTTTAATTTTGAACCTCAGACAGCGGACTCCTTCATTTTGCTGCGGACTCCCTCTTTTTGAGGGTAGGGAGTCCGTTGGACTCCCGTGTTCAAAGTTAATTTCTACCCCTGGAATGTACGTGGGGCAAACAGCAAGGTATCCCCAGCATTGCTGCCAATCGAGGTACAAATGTTTCTAAAACACCGGTACGTGTGACACAAATAATTCTAGATTTCATATATCCAGCCGGGCATATACTGACAACAAGAATTTTCTTGCTGGATCTACTATAGTTGATGGGCCATTTACTCGTTCACCCATTTGACTCGCAGTTTTCTTTCATACCCTGCGTAGTTGCCAGAACACTTGCAGTGGTGGTGGAAGAACTGCAGAGGCCATCTGTATCGATCGTCACGCTCAACACTCGCGGGATGGTCTTCGGCCACGTCCTCTATCATCACACAGTGGCCGTGTAGTGGACCACCGCATGGCAGGTTCGACTCTGCAACATATGATTCCGACGGCTTACACTTAGTTAGAAATCCTGCAGTCTGTTACGTTAGCAGACGAAAACGGTTAGATAACAGCTATCGCATTTTAAGGCGATTATTGTGTATCTACTATGATTATGATGATGTATGTGTGACACTGATAATAATAATATTATATAATGCTAAATCATGTTAACGTTGTAATTTGATGCTGTTCTGTAATGTATCAGATGACCTGAAAAAGATATTACATCAACAATGACATCTACTTTAACATTTTTTATTTAGTTTTTTATTTAGGCAATTATCCATCATATACAATACATAGCATACTTTTACAATAAAATTCTGAATTCATAAAATTACCTGATTTACCTGATTTACCTGATTCCACCCCTCACCTGTAGGTTTGGAGTGGATCGAAGGGTAGGAACTAGGAAGACTACTGTCTTGTATAAACCCCCATCCTTACATATTCATCCACATGGCTTTTGAACGAGTTAATTGATTTAGCTTGTACTGCTTCTTCTGACAGGTTATTCCAGTGATTTATTACTCTAAAACTGAAAAAATGTTTCCTTAACTCTAATCGTGCATGCGGAGTGATATATAGCCGCAGGCAACTGTACGCGGGCTATAGTTACTAGAGCTAGTGATGCTCAAGGGGTCGTTGTCGTAACAGGTACTACAGATATGTACCCGAGGTACATATATGTATACACAAAGTGTACCATGGTAGCACCGCCGGTGCCCCCCCACAGATTTAGCGCGCGAAATCCTCAAGCATCTGTGATATTACTATAGTCCCGGCCGGCGGCAGCTTCTCTCAACCAGACTCCAAAGAGCATATATATAACTCATTGCCATCAACAAGTTTTCCGTGTTAGAACGGCGCTAGTACAAGTAGTCGCGTAGCACGCTCTGCATGCTAGAACCCTATGACAGTACAAACATTGTTAAACAATGGGGCCACGGACACCAGTCTACCACACTATTTTCCCTATTTCCTATTTCCTATTTTCCCTATTTTCTGGGCAATTCCTATTTTCTCCTTTTTCGGACAAATTCCTATTTTTTAAGGGCTTTTCATTTTTCTGAATCCAGAATTGTATGTATCCTTCTCAGAATTCAGGAATTTACATTTCAGGTGACCCAATTTTCAAAAATTTCCTTGGGGGAGGACCCCAGACCCCCACCCTTACTTTAAATTAACGTAATTACCTCTTTACTATCACAGCATTTTATTTCAGTAAAGTTGTTTCTCATCATTGGATGTGGTATGTGTATCCAGAGGGGGGTCCAGGGGTCCTGGACCCCCCCTTTTTTTACCCGCAAAAAGGGAAAACACATAAAAGATAATTTTCTGCTTAAAAATTTGGAATTCCATCTTGCATCTAGACATCAAAATACTGCTCAGATGCTCTCAGAATGCACCACAATTTTTAAAATTTTTTTTGGGAGGTCCCCCTAACCCCCCCCTCCCCTAAGTGTCAACGTGCCTTAGACACCGGCGCATAAGCTGCCTTCGGCACCTTTTTATAAAGATGCCCTTTGATTTCTTACTGGACCCCCACCTTTTACAAAAAGCCAGATTCGCGCCATGATACATGTAAGCTCATACTTTTTGGAGTAGTCTACATGTATAGGTGCTTATGCATGTAAAACTGCTTATCAATTCTAACATGCATTTCTCATTAAAACCCTCAAAATATTGTTCGCATGTGATGTAACTCCAAATATGTATATTAATAAAACCGTTTGTGGTGATCGGGATGGCTGTAGGGTGTTGGAGGCCTTCTAAACGCAACAAATATTCCTATTTAACATGTATTTTCTCACCAAAATTCCTAATTTTTCT